TGTTTTAAACGAATCAGTAAAGAGCTGTAAAATTATTTCAAGATTATATTTGATGTAACATTCTTTTAAGACATTATGGTATCCTCATTTTTATTTGACCAAAAGCCATGATTTTTTTTTGTCAATGCATGCCCATCACCCAATCAATACATGATCCAATTTACACCAGCAGGCCTGTGATTTAAGACCTGTCAGTGACCAAAGCCAGCATGTCTCTGTGTACTGGGTCTGTTTTTTCATTTAGGACTGACAAAAATTTGTTTCTTTTCGACGGACCATTTGATATTCATTAGAACTGTGTGCCACGTACGCCATAAGGAATTTTTCAGGTGAAATTTTCTTTAGTTTCACGCTCAAATCGTGTACAAATCGAAAAATCTGAATAAAAAAACTATTTAAACCAATCTTCCCTAGTTGACAGATTATTTCCTAATATATATATATTTCTCTCTGTTGATGATACAAAACAAATCTTGGAATTTTCAATATAATTCAGTAAGTCCCTTGAAATAATTGGTGATTTCGCAATAAGTCCTCCAGTTAATTGGCGATTTCCTTTGAGAAATGATACAAAAATTGTTTTCCCGATTTTCTTGCATGTCATTCTGTGATTATGACATGATTGTACTCAAAGAGAAACTGTTGCATAAATCAGTAATGCTTTTCTACATGTACTGTGTAAGTGTAGCTAGCTCTCAGATTTTCCTGTTGCCTGTTTATTCGTTCTAGTCATCGGAAGCACTGATTTAAATAAATTCTCTACCTATCCACAAGTGAATAAATAGCCTTTATCACAGGATCTTCTCATAAAAACCCACAACAGTTCATTTTTTTCTCTCCAAGAACACAATAATAATGAATGTCCCCACTGTACTATAATACCTAAAGCTTAGTAACCTTTCATACAAAAATCTCTATAGATAAAACTATCAAGAATGAGTCTCTTAAGAGAAAGGCATTAACTTGAATACACAGAAACATACTTATAAAACCTTGAAACATTTCAGATTACAAGCAAAACAAGTTAGAGTTATTTGGTAAAGGGTAATGCATATGAACTAACAGATCTTTCAAATTTTACATCAGGGAGGTGCCAGCTATTAAACTGTGGAAGCATCTAAAAAGTTTTCACAGTGACCCTTTTTTGGACTAAGCAAGTGTAAAATGCCTTACTCTAAGCTGTTTTCTGTAACAAATTAACCCTTTGATACTCAATGAAGCATTTGGACTGCTTCAAATCAACGGCTATCATTGTCTATTGTTGAAATACAGGGGTGAATGAGTTAATAAATGAGCAACAAGCAATTCTATTGATTTACAAACAAAAATAGAAGAAAAAAAGTAATGATGAAAACTGGGGTATCTTCTAGAATATGGAAATTTGTTTAGCAATTTATTGCTGAGATATGCTATCTTAAGTTATTTTAGGTGTGAAAACCATTCAATATTTCTTAAAGCCTAAATCCTGATTTCAAAAGAGACACTTGCTGCTTCTTAATGATATCAATCCTACCCCCACCCCCTGGGTCCACACCCATCTTTGCAATTAACAACTGTCATTACTAGAATGCCTTCCAGAACAAAAAGGGGAGGTAATCCATGGATAAATTTAAAACAAGTGCAAATACCACTGGGACTTGGTTTGGTTTAGTATTGTTTAACGTCCTATTGACAGCTATTGTCATTTAAGGATGGCCTCCCCTGTGTGCAAGATGCATGCGTGTATAGTGTATATATATGCATGTGTTTTTTGGGAAGCTAGCTGCGATATGTTCTGAGAAACAATATTGAAGGCATACAATTAAAATATCAATAAACTAGCTGTTAGGATATCACACAAGCTTGTCTTTTAATCTGTTATTTCCTAATTAACAGGGCATTGCCTTAAGCTTATTTAAGCGAAAGTAAACGTGTTTAAAAAATAAAAAATCTGGAGATCGATGTGAACTGCTATAATTAAAGGTTATCATCTACAATATCACATTAGCTTTGAATAAAACAACAGTCAGAATCTCTTTGATGCCAAAAGTACCGTAATCTGCAAAGCGAGTTTATACAAAATTATTTATTTTTCAAAGGTTCAAAGCACACTGATAAACATGTTGTTCCTATAATCAAGACTTCCGACCCAACGCTGTTTCACTTTACAGAAATTTCATCGATTTCTTTCGAGTCAATAGGTACAGTGACAGAAGAATACTTCATTTCCCAAGAGACCTTCAGTCATGCATGAAAACTAAAGGGAAAGTATATCAGATATTCCCATGGCTGAACATGCGCTTGTTTTTTTCATTGATGGGAAACGGGTGGTAAAATTTAACGGTTCAGTGATGCTTGGTTTGAATGATTACCTGTTTTGTCTGACACAGAGGGTGTAGTTCAAATTTGAATAATTCATCTAATGACCCTATTCGTTTTTCCAGAGATTGCGCAACAAAAACCATTGACAACATACTTAAAATAAGGCTTGGTCCCCTATTACAATTACGTTGCTTCTATAAAAAGATTAATTATTTACTGAGGTTTCCATGGTGATATTGATTTTGAATTTTAACAGTGTGGTTCTATATACACATGGTCTAGGTATAAACAGTCTACATTCTCCCATACCTGTGCGCGAGATGATTTTAGAGTATTTATATGATATATCTTAGAAAACTACATCACTCATTTCTTTGGAAGTTCCCTCGTCATGACTAATGTGTACTAATTTGTCGATTATAATGACATGCCTTCAGCAGATATTCAAGTTTCAAGGCATAATGTTATTGGGAATGTTGTTAAATCAGATGGGTTCTTTTTACAGATAATTAGGTAGAATGGCCTGTTTGCTTATACTAAACAAGATTTTTCCTCAAAATGTTTTCTTTCATTTATTGGCGAGCTGGAAATCATAACCCAAGTAAATCTGGTAGATCATAATCTCACTATCCAGGTATTTTGTCAAGGTTGTAATGAAGACAGTTACTGAATTTAATTCTATATTTACATAAAAAGCAGTCTATTGACATGGCAAAGGTGGAAAAAGGATGTGCCTTAAGTAAAAACTCTCAGTATCAGCAATTATAACTGTTGATCATCACCTGCTGGTCGCTTGAAAATAATTGAGTTTCTTTGATCACAAAATTGACGAACAGACTGGTGATGTAAACCATAGTATCAATGATTTAAATACATGTTTATAAACACATTCTTCATTACATTTTGAACAATGGCAAAATGCACTTATAAGCCAGTGTGTTTATTTAGGTTTGTTAGAATCAATATTGATTTAGATATCAGATTCATTTAATCAATGTTATTTATCCATCTGACTCATCTAAATGATTTTAAGTACAAATGTACTAAGAGAATTTATGACTTTTCATTTCTTTGAAATTTTTTACTTTGATGTTGTATCTATGTTTTACGGTGAGGTCAATCTGACCTTTGACCCAACCATTGACTTGACCTGTCAAACTGGGTAATCAATTTAATTTAATCATTTTTCATGTTTAACTTCAAACAAAGTGGCCCAAGATTTCCTTTTTTCATTTTTGTACTTTAAATTCTGTCATAATGGTAGGTTTTTTAATTATCAATTTATCAATTTTGACATCCTATAATTGATTTATTTTAAACAGAATCTTTTTAGTAATATACTGATATAAATTATCATTATAAAACCATTTTTTTAATTGAATGTTATATAACCATTTTTTGTACTTTTACTCCAGTACAGAAGAACTTTATGAAAGGTGCAGCATGTCTGGTTTAACAGGAAATTGCTGTACTTTCAGGTAATAAGTAAGCATATACACGAAAAAAAACATTCTGCTGAAAACTACAATAAAATTATATAAATAGACCTTCTCTATTGACAGTTCTTACAAAGAGGTCTGCGTTGAACGGGTCCCTACGCTGACGCTGTCGCTATCGCAGACTCAAACTTACAAAAGAAATATATGGTGTGTGGTTTAAAGGTTCAACAACTATAACAGAGCTCATTCCAATTTCAATGCAACAAATTCTCCCAGTTAAAGACCTGAAATAGCACAAGTTCATGGCTTGATGACAGTTTTATCATCCGTGGCGAGGATATCAGACTGATACTCATCTAATAAATAACGTACTTTACATTAACCCACGCACATTAACCCCAGCTTATGTATAATAAACATGGATCTAAAGTCAAGTGAAGACTTTTAAAGGCATAGAAAAAAGGCTAAACCGTGTTATTGAAAGAGAATGTTATCTGGATTTAAAAGGTCAAATCAGACGATTTCTCAAAACGGTGTAAATTTGAAGAAAAAAAATAGTGGCAAAAAAACCTTCAATTCAAATAAGATATTTCTAATTTTTGATTTTGAAAACCTTTTTCACTGGATTATTTTTAGCTTTAAATTTTCAGTTAATCATTTTTTTATTTATTCTAAATTTCTGGAATGGAGTTGGATCTTTCAATTTATCTTATTATACAAATGTAGACATGATAAGTCAATAACCTCCATCTCAATTTTAAAAGAAAAACTAAGAGTTTAAGTCGCAATTTTTTAAAGTCAAGTTATTTCTGCAACCTTACAAATTGATTATATATAAATTTACTCTTTAACACCTTGTTAAAGTAAAGATTATGTTCAATATCCTCAGATAAAGAATGAAAAACCCTGTTATTGAATGTCACCTAATAAGTTGACATGGGTGATATGTTTTTGATATAGATTGAAGTCGAATTTATTCCATCATATCATGTTTCGGAGAAGACCCTTCACCATCAGAGAGAAAACTACCATATTTTTTTTGTATGTAATACATATAGGACTAGATACCTTATTATCATTGAATCCCGATCAAGCGACTGGCCGCATGGTTGAAACTAACCAATCAGCAGACGCAAATATTGAGTTCAAAGTTCATATTTCTGGTTTGCACCAATTAGTGTTTATCAAAGGTATCGTGTGTAATGGTGTTACTGTTGTTTGAAATCATATTTTTACGAGAAGTTTAAATAGTTTTCTTACCTTGAGAAATAAAAGCCCCTAAAAACACAAGAACAACGACAACAGTGTGCTGTGAAGGAGTTTGTGTGGATTTCTTCTTCATCTTTTCTTCATCTAAAGATCTGAAACATATAAAAATGAAACGTATTTAGCATGGTGGTACTGGAATTTCGCGGCATGATGTCGCGGTCGGGGCTGGCGTTATATGCCAAACATGAATAAAAAAATACAAGCATCAAGACTGTTTACATTATGTCATCAATATGATTTTATCGATAATTGCATGACCTACTGCAATATTTGTCATGGTTAAGTTAAGCCATATTGAAAGTCTTAAGCTGTTCAGTCAACCTGCTCATGCAGCCACCTCCATTAAGAGACCACCTGTATAAAGAGACCACTTAAATTTTCTGCATTGTAACAATGTTATTGTAAAATGAAACTGTATTAAGGGACCACCTGTATTAAGGGACCACCTGTATTAAGGGATCACCTGTATTAAGGGATCACCTGTATTAAGGGACCACCATTTGGCTTTCTGAAGGTAGTGACTTTATACAGCTTTGATCATGAATGCAACCCTCGAACTGTTGAATAAACTTACACACACATGATTACAATGATTGTTAGTATTTCCCTATGGGGACAGAATCCTAAAAAAACACCCATAAAATTACCAGGAAGTGTACATTTATAAGGTCATGTCAGTGAAAAAATGCATTGGCTAACAATCTGTATGATGAAGCACAAGTACACTTCGATTAGAACACATATTAGTCTATTAACCCTTTCACCCCTATGTAACTTTAATAGACCCTACCATGCATTGATCTGGATGAGTCCATTTTGGTCTACAGTGGTGAAAGGGTAAAGTACCACTGCATCATATACAGCATAACAGTCGATGGTTATACTGCTCTATTTTCTGCTCACAGTCAAACCTGTATTACTTAAGGTAATAGGATTGTGTCGCCATTTCTCAGTAGAATTTCTTTAAATTTTGTAGTTATATTGCTTTGAAGTAAAGAAAATTTTCTACCCCAAAAATATAGGTTGCCATAATTTTAAGGAATTTAAATGGAAATTTATGTAAAAAGGAGTGACTTTAAAAAAAAAGTCAAAATAATGCCAATAAAAATGATACTGCCATAGATTAGTATTGCATTAATGTATATCATCAATTTAATAAATGCTGAAATTATGTCAAATAAATTATCTATAAACGATTAAAAATTGACATTTTATAATAAAACCATATGCACATAGTAATTGCAGGTAAGAGTTATCTTTCTTGAAAAAAAACACAGTAGCGAAATAGGTAGCGGGTTTCCTGAAGTACAGAAAAATGGATACATGTGGCTCATTGATAAAAAAAATACCTGAATTAATGCCTGGATTGCTTTGAAATACTTTAATATTGAGAGAACACACTGTTCTGTCAATAATAAACATACAATATTCTTCAGTTTAATATTAAACATTAGAATATGGGAAATTGTGATAGTGTCTCCCTTCATTGGATTTTCAACTAGGGATGTACTTCCTACTTCCGTCTATCAATACACTCCTATGACCTTAAGGAAGCTCAAAATGTGGTGTCTATAAGGGGCGCTTGTGGTTCCTTGATACAGGTGCAACTCACAAAGAAATCATTACAGTGAAGACCAACCTAAGGGTGGTCGGTTGGCTCATATACTGCTCTTGCCTTTCACCAAGGAGACCTAGGTTTAATTACCCAACCGGGCGTGAAAAGGTATAGGGCCAACAGACAAAACATTCCGATAGTTTGGGGATTTTTTTGGAAAAAATACCAAAAAATTGAATTTCGTCAATTTTAATATTTTCCGTTTTTTTGTGTGTGTGGCATTGTTCGGAACAATAACAACAATAATAAAAAGAAAAGAAGCATTTCTAATTAACCCTACAAATATTTTATTCATCGCAAAATATGGAACACATGTTCCACAAAGTGTTTTTTTATTGAATTTGTACGGATACAAGTGATTATCTACAAGCTAAAAGCAAACAGGACACAAAGATCTATACATATAGAGTGGGAAATTGAACAAAATATACACAATGGCTTTATAATTAATTTATTTTACACTTTACAATCACTTTGATCCCGGTAGGAGTTATCTTCCTTGAATAAAATCGGAACTTTTTGCTGAGGGATGACATTTACACAATGACAGTTGTCTCTGTTTACATATAACAAAAATGATGGAAATAAATCAAAAATATGATATCCAAATTATAAATTTATTGTTCTTTAATGGAACCAAATTACCCTCAGTCATGTACACTTTGGACATCATTCCACAGTCCGCTAACTCACGGTATATTTATAATTACATGTCAGGAACATATGTGACCAGAGGCTATCGCATGGTATGCCGTTCTCACGTGCACTCACACATGCATTTCATAGGTATCTTGATATTTTACAAAACATTATTTTCACATAGTATAATCGACAGAGCGAAACTCCTTCCGTGTAAGCACGTGATATGCACATGTGAGGTCAGTACGTCCGAATTCCATGTGTTTCCTATATGACCTTCTTGAGGTCGTCTGGTCTCATGTCACTGTCTTCCCGTGAGTCTATTTATGTCTATGAATTTGAAAGCTTTATTCCTGACATATCATCCGCACGCACGTGTACTATTGTTTACCAGGGGCCTGTTCGTATATGCGGAACAACCGGTTTGACAATTTATAAATGTAACAATTTCGGGTATAAATCCTGACGGACCTGCAAATGTGTATGCAGGCCTTGCAAGGGTTTCCCAAGGCTCGCCTGAAAGCAGCATCAGATTACTAGGTCCGACCTTATTTAATAAACGAACAACAGTGGTCGGATCGGTTTGACCTTTTAAACGAAAACGGCCCTGGTGTTACTATAATTTGCACTACGATATTGAGAGAACACACTGTTCTGTCAATAATAAACATACAATATTCTTCAGTTTAATATTAAACATTAGAATATGGGAAATTGTGATAGTGTCTCCCTTCATTGGATTTTCAACTAGGGATGTACTTCCTACTTCCGTCTATCAATACACTCCTATGACCTTAAGGAAGCTCAAAATGGGGTGTCTATAAGGAGCACTGGTGGTTCCTTGATACAGGTGCAACTCACAAAGAAATCATTACAGTGAAGACAAACCTAAGGGTGGTCGGTTGGCTCATATACTGCTCTTGCCTTTCACCGAGGAGACCTAGGTTTAATTACCCAACCGGGCGTGAAAAGGTATAGGGCCAACAGACAAAACCCCTGGGTGCATGCTAACATGCCGGCCAACAAGAGTGATTACTATTAGTTAAAATAACTTGTTTGATATTTGTAGTAAAATAGATAAAGTTTATATTTATAACGTAATAAGTGGTCTCTTAACACAGGTGGTCTCTTAACACAGGTCGTCTCTTAATGGAGTTGAATACTTGAGCAAGACTGACTGTCTGTTCTTAGTGCCATTATGTATGTAATGGGACCTTGTTGTTGTTCAGTTTCTACATGGTTCTGTTTAGAGAAGGTATCGATACTTCCTAAAATTGACTTTTTGACCCGAGTTTAGACTATTAAAAGCAATTGCATGCCTGTCCTGTTTAAGCCCCACATGTATGGAGTCTGAGTCGAGCCGAGTCGCATAAACAAAGGACCAATTAACTGGTAAAGGAAGTCTGTGACAAATGGATGATAGATCGGACCGCACAAAAGAGTTATCTTGTTAATTTTCTATTATTAGTACGATCATTATTACTCTTCCTTCAAAACAACGACATTCCGACCGGAACAGAAATATTAATGCACCAGCAAATCAGGAAATTGTCAAAAAAAACAGTATTGGCATGTATTTATCGGTTTCCATAAATATACATTGTTCATGTGTTGGGATATTGGGATGACACACATCATTGATTTGTGAGAACAAGAGAAGTGATACATGTCGAGTGAATCAAGTTACGTTCTGTTAATTATACGGTAACGGGGGATATTAGTCTAGAATTACAAGGACCAGATTTTTTTTTTCTGACAGCATTATGTTTGAAATACGTCAAGTGCCCAGTAATGGAGTCTTAATCATCTAGCGACACAGCCATACAGTATCCCGTACTATAAACTGTGAAACAAACATTCATAAAATCTTTCCCCATTTTTTACAATAAGTCAGAAAAAATCTCAAATCTAGGGGTAAGGCACCTAACGTCAATCTGAAGCAAAATTTTACTCCAAAGGTTGAATTTATCTGTCTCAACCTCAATTCGGAAATCGGAAATTCTCTTCCAACCCCTCTTTCTCAAGAGTATATTGGGTTGGTTCTCAGGTTTTACCTTCTTCAAATGCCCTTGGTAACCTTTCAAATCACAAAATATTACTAAAAATCTTTGGGTACCTATACCTTTAAGATAGAAAGTCCTGCCACCTTTCTACTCTGACAGTATAAAAGGTAACAAAATTAAGATAACAAAAATGTGTGGTTTGCTATTTTTGTTAAGGACTTGTCGAGCTAGCAATTCTATAATCAACTCTACTCAGAAATGCCTTGTACATCTGAACCCCATGCCAATTACAATTGAGGGTGCATTAAGGTGGCTCAACACTTTCGCAATTAACCAGCAAAATTCGTTGAAACTTTCATATAATGGTTATGCAACTATGTAGAGTTGATTTTATGAAAATCTAAACATTCCGATAGTTTGGGGATTTTTTTGGAAAAAATACCAAAAAATTGAATTTCGTCAATTTTAATATTTTCCGTTTTTTTGTGTGTGTGGCATTGTTCGGAATATTGAATGCCTGATACGCAATACGGAAATGACGACACGGTGTACATGCACATTTCGATCAAGATAATTGAGTCCGAGCTGTACTTTTTCCGGAAGTACGTCACGAAAATGGACGCTGATGACGATGTGTGGAGCCACCTTAAGTCACCTTACACATTACACCCGTGTATTTTTTTAAGAGTTATCTCCCTTTATCATATTTAGTTAGCACTATCTTATAATAATCCATAATTGCTTGAATTTATTAAATGCATTTTAATTTTCTATATATATATACCTCCAAACCCGTCATTAGTTGATGAACCAAATCCAAACTCCATTCATAAAA